CTAACTTGATGAGCTATTTGAAGTTGGAAACTTATGGGGATAATCTATGTTGGTCCATATCTTACAGTATTTTTATACTATGGAACACGACATGAATTTAGGGAGCTAAAGTCGAAGCATGGTTGTGACAAACATTTTACAAAATACTAGCATGGTGCTATTACCTAACTGTGCATTGGGAAGAAGCACAAAACGGAGTCAAGTGACATTTCAGGCGTTTCAGTCCCAGGTCACGTCTTGAGAAAATTGCTGAAATAATGGAGGGGGCATTTTTCAAGCAGAGCTGCAGCTTCAACAGCTATGTTTACTTTAACGCTTCACTAGTGACTTCTGATTGGTTGTCATGACCTCATCTCACTGTTGCACCTAGGATGTTGCAACAGTGACATATACATACCGTTCTTGTGAAAAAGATGAGAATAAGCACAATGTATATCTTTCAAGAAAGATGAATGGACAGTGGCTTGTCCTTTTTACCATGGGTAGATGTAGTTTCTTTGGCTTTCATTTCCCTTGAGGATGAGCACCCATTATCTTTCAACACAAGCCGATAGAATGCTGAACTTGAGAAATATGATTGATAAATCTGTGTAAAATGATCCTTTACAGAACTTTGCCTGAAGATCCAAACTGATAGTACCAGAGGTCAAGGGATTCTACTCTGCCCTCTGACCTCTTTGGTCACATGTGGCTTGCAGTATTGGCAGGTTAATATGCAGACCTGAGTACTTGCAGCTGATTATTTTAGTTAGCCGGCCACAAGAAAATGGGAAAGATGTAGAATCTGCTGGTATTGTTCATTTTCCTAATAGTTGGTAGTTAATAGGCATATTAACTTGTATAAGTAATCAGTTTTAGGTAGGTTTTGAGGGACACTAAAGTACATTCTGGTTTGGGGCAGGCATTTTAAAATTGGTTCTCTATATAGATTCAATTTCTTTAGTAAGGTTTCTTCTTTGGTTCTTTGTGTTTGGCATCACCTGTCTGTTTTAGACATCTCTGACATAAGCCATCATTGGTTGATTGGATGATAAATGAACTATTATTTATTAGAAAGTGCATCTATGGACTTCAAAGTAAAGAGCCCGGAGGACTATATGTTCTATTTAATTCGCTTATGTTGAATTAAATGCTATGTCTGGCAACAAAATTTTGAAGCTTTCTGATCAACAGCCCACGGTTTATGCCTTATAAATACAGGAAGAAAATGAACCTAATGTAGCTACAAAGGGATAGAAAATGATAATTTGAAGAAAATGATAAATGATAATTTTAATTATATTTACCAATATATGTCATCATGATCACTTCTTCATCTTCTACTAGACTGTGTGATGAGGCATGAGTTAATTAACAACTCTGTGTATACTCTGTCCCTTGAAATGTTGGATACTGGAGTTGACTTGGGTAAATCATTTTGAAAGATGCCAGAAATGTTTTTATTTAGTTGTAGAATGTTAATCAGTTTGATCATTTTTGTCTTGTTAAAGATAATAACTTTTCAACACTCAGCTTTTGAGAAATTTAGAATACTTAAAGTATAATTGAATATAAAAGGAAAACTTCAATATAAAATGTTTAAGGTTTGAGCATGAGCTATGGAGTCTTTCTTACTAGGATAAAATTGTACAGTTCTATCATGATAGTAAATTTGATGGCTGATTTTGCCATGTAATTTTGTAAAACTTAAGGTTGTGTTCATTAAAGGTTACACTAGTCGTCTCTTTTTTGCTATTTCTGCCCATACTGATTCCAATACCAGGAATAATAAGAATTAATTTTTAAAATGATGTTATTTTAAGATATAAACTGATATTACCCTACTTGAAATGCTTGGATTTAACTACTGGTATGTTATCTGCTTTGTTTCACTTTGCCTATTTTGACTCCTTGGAGTCCATGTATTCATGTTGACATGGCAAAAATCTTTGTAGCTTTAATATAAAAAGGAAATGTGTATATGTGACCAAGAGAAAGAAGAAGGTAAAATTTCACCACATATTTGTGGTTACAGCATGTAGATGGGATAGTTAATATTATTTTGGTGCTCCAGCTTTCTCCTACTTATTTATAAAATAGTTAATAATGGTCTCTATGTACATTGCATTAATTAATCAGGAAAATTTTAATTGAAAAATGTTAAGTTTTTTACAGAATGGTAATTGAATTTGCAACAAAGAAATTTATTAAAATTCTCATTTCTGTAGAAAATATTCTTGAATATTTTTGATTGTTATACCATTAATTAAATTGCCAGTATGAAGTGTCTAAATGATAAAATATTTTCTAAATAATTCAGGTGTTTAAAGAGAAACATTCGTTGTTAAAACTTAAATTATAAAAATTATATAATTGATTTATATAGTGGTGATTTAAAAATAGAATCATTTTTCATCTTTTGATGCCTCAGTGAAAAATTGACATTGTGTCTTTATAAAATTGGACAAATGAGTCATGTAATTTTCAGTTACATAATCAATAACTTAGACAAATACTACTTCTTTGATGATTTATATGTGTCTGATTTTTATACTTATTTAGATGGGACACTTCAAATTTAGGAGTCTATTTAAAATCAAGAAGTCACAATAATTTTTCAGAATTGAAGTAAAATCTACTGATAAACCAGATATCATAAAATATTTCTCCTGGATGACTTAAGTTATAATAGTTCTGTTTACTTGGTGACTACAAATTTTGTGTAAGCATTTTACCTTTATTTGGAATTCATTCATTGTGCAAAAATGATGCTCTTGTTTTATCAGTTTATTATAGTTACACTTAATTTTTAAGTTGAAAATTTCTCATCTCATCATTAAAATATAATATGTCACTATTTTCACCTCTGTGAATCCTAAGATTCTCTTTGGACTTGCTAACTGTAACTCATATGTAAGTATAAGAGGGTGTGTATGTGTATGTGTGTGTGTGTGCATGCGTGCGTGTGTAAATTTCAATTCACTGAGAGAAGGCAGGGAAGAGACATGACAGGAGACCACTTACTCAGGGTACAGAATCTAGTAAAGAGGCAATTTTCTTTTTGGCCTATGTGACCTTTTTTGACTATGTTCCTTACACCAAAGACAGTGTACTGAATGCTTCTATTTCACCCTGCTTAGCAGAGTGCAACAGTGTTCTTTTTGGTGGGAGGAGAAGGTATAGCTGAAATTTGAGAAGGGCGTGATAAGTTGTAAGAGGCACAAGGAAGAGGGCTAGGAACTTCCTTCAAATGTGATTTTAATAACTAGTCAAGTGTGTCCAACTGTAGAAAATCACCATGTGACAATCTGTCTACCTGACATTGGTCACAATGAATTACAAGACTTTTGAATAGCTATACAGATTAGAATAAAACAGAACCAAATAAAATATCTTTTGTTGGTAAAACGTTGACTTTCCAAATAAGAAACTTGAAAAGAACTTATTTTGTATATTGACTTAAAACATTTGAATTTAAATTTTTTTCAATTATTTTATAAAGCTTTCACAAAAAAGTACTTATTTGAAAAGTTTTAGATGGATATGTATTGAAGAATATAGGATACTTAAAAAATCAGTTTGGTATATATTATATATAGTTTTCATATATGAAGATGACTTTATCTTAATAGTCTTATCACTAAAATCCAAACTGCAGTGAGCTTGAAAATCTCCAAACTGTATCATGATTGTAGACAATAATATGATTGTGGAGGTTGGGGGAGAAGGGAATAAGACGTTTTTATGTAGTTTGTGCAATTGTTAAAGAAAATCAACTACATGTAGCAATGTAGAATATTTAAAAATAAGATACATGAGTCTGTACTTATAATTTGTGTAAAACTTATAAAACTACCATTAGTTTTTTTTTTTTAAATATTATGGTTGGCAAAAAAATTAAATTTGCAGCTGATTCTACAGTTACAGTTTTGAAAATAAGTTTCTTTGGATTCTTAAATAAAGATATGATTTTGAAAGCTTTATTTCTTATATTTTTTGTATGTTTTTGTCATAGTACATGTTTAAGTATGACCTTGCAGGATTTTCTAAGGCAGAATTAGTATACCCACAGTACAGAATTAAATAGAATAGACAAGATATATAACAGCTTCAGAAATCACTGTTACACATGCTTGTCAGTGGGAATTGTTTATCATTCTCTGTTTTCTTGTGGTTAGATTATTCCATCACTTATAGTGTTACAGCAAGTTCCCTGTCTCTATACAAATGTTTCCTTGCTAGAATTTAATCAGATGGGAAAACATGTTTTTTAAGCTTTTTTAAGGTCTAATAGTTCAGTAAGCTGTATTACAAACTTTGGCACTGGTTTCTTGCTACTAGTTCTTACTAAAAAGAAAATTTGAAAAATCAGAAGAAATTTCAGGATTAAAGAGTTGATTTCATACATTTGCAAGATATCAATTTGTCTTGTGACTTTTATCTTATGACATGTGAAAGACAGACTGAAAAAAATACAAGGTACATGGGTGGACTTTATGCTTTTGATAGTGTGTATAGTGACATAAACCTGTGGCATGTTAGATCAGATTTATTTCCTTTGAATTGCTTGTTCATTTTTACATGTTTAAATAAAAATGTTCATTAAAGCACAATTGCAAAGGAAAAATATCCAACAAAATTTGATTTGAATTATCAGAGTTTATTTTCTCAAATTCTATATGTTAAACACTAATGGATTGAAAGTACTTATTTCACAATTTGTTTCAATCATTTTTGGGGTTCTGGAAGATATGAAGTAATTTTTAATTTAAGCTTTAAAATATTTATGTTACACTTATGACATTTTGTTCTTAAAATCTATACTTGACACAACCATAATGCTGGCAAACAATTTTAAGTAATTTGCTGTTGGAAACACTGGAACTATAATCTTTTAAGAGGAATATATTGATGAATATGCAACTACATTAAGTCACTTAGTATGAGATTTTAAGAACTTTTTATGAGTTGGAATGGATTCTGTGATTAAATTATGCTGCCTACTTTGCTTTTAAAAACAGGAAGGATATGGAGTGATAGTACTGAATCCCAATGAAAACTATATTGAAGTGGAAAAGCCGAAGATACACATACAGACATCTTCTGACAGTTCAGATGAACCTGCAGAAAAGCGGGAAAGAAAAGATAAAGTCTCTAAAGAAACAAAGAAGCGACGTGATTTCTATGAAAAGTATCGTAACCCCCAAAGAGAAAAAGAAATGATGCAGTTGTATATAAGAGTAAGTAATAAGATTATTACTTTCCTTTATACTTCATTTCTTATAAATTGTGTTTTAAAAGAAAGTAATTCTTTCATTTTTAACCATTTAGCCCCCATAGTTGTTCGTTGGATTCTTTTATGCAAAATTACAAAGCACCTCATTATTATTTCAGTGTGATATTTTATATAATCTCAAATGTAATTTATAATGCACTGTAGGAAACATCGGTCTTCATCTTGGGTGGCAGTAGTTTAGTACATTGTTTTCTTATGAGCAACCATCCGTCCACAGTGTCTCAGCTTAACTTCTGATGGCAGATGGAGGGAGGAAAAGTAATTAATATCTTAATAAGTATTTGAACTAGAATAGTTTAGGTATAGTGTAATGAAGGAACTCTGTCCTTTGCTCTTTTCTTACCCAGTGAACCTTTGTACTTTGTAATGCTGGGAGCATGGGATTGTTACAGCAGTGCTACACAAGGAGTTCTAATTTGGGAGGGGCGAGAGGGGGCAGTGCAGAGTGGGCGTCAAATAGTTTTATTTGCATGTCCACACATTCTGTTTGATATACATACTGTTCACTATATATATATATGTGTGTGTGTGTGTGTATATGTGTGTATGTATGTATGTATGAAACAGATTCATGTAATTTTCCAAGCCTCATTATGGATGCCAGAAGTATGATTTAATAGTACAGCATGTCAAAAATGCTACTGGATAATAAATTGATGTGCTCTTCAAAAGTGAGCATTCGGAGCATTTAAACGTAGACAGATTCACATTTTATAAATTATACTGTAAAACAGTAGTAAAGTTTCCAATTATTCAACTTGAGCTATTGTACTTACTTCAAAAGCTCATTAATAAAATATTTCATGCACAATTGAAGGGAAATATGTGGGTTGTTACTTAACTTTAGTTTAGTTCATGCCATCATTGTGCTTCTGTGGACTGAACTCCAGACATTCAAGGCATTTAATTACAGTTTATTCAGTAAGTTTTGTCAGTCAAACAGTAGTAAAAACAGCAGATAAATTCTCAAGACCCCCCCAAAATCTATCTAGAGGAAGAATACCCACAATTCTTCGTTACACAATGTGTCAAACAAAAGTTAGAGGAATTACAGTATTTATGTTTCTGAAAGGCATCTCACTGTTTTATATATTATCTTCAAAACAAAAAAGTGATTAGATTTGAATTCTATAAGTAGTTTACTTTTTCTGGTGAAGTTACATAACTGCTTTTCTTTCCTGTAATTATCAGGGTTGTGATATCACCTGCTTCTGTTTCAGTTATCCTAAGCTTCCTATTATATTTGATTTGGTCTATCCACTATCTTACGACAAACTTAAATTTGCCTCTAATAGTTAGATTTGAAAAATAAATTGAGTAAGGTTTTTGAAATATACTAATCATTAAGAGCATTCAGTTCCCTGTGTAGAAAGCAAACAAAAATTATTTTGCATGCTTTCAATTTTCTTATCTAAATAGTTTTATTTTCCTGTGATATGTACATATTAAACATTTATTTCTGACATCTGTTTGTTAGGCTTTCTTTTCTGTTTTCCCTTTTCTTGCCACTGTTACTTTGAATTTTTTTCTTTTGTTTTCTTGTATGTATACATTTTCTTCATCCTGTTTTTCGCAACTGTCTTGTATCCCTGTTTCTATTTTTATCTTACCAGAAGGGGAAAAAAAATCTTTTTACAATACTTCATTATTATAACTTGCTCTCTCCCTTTGTCATTTTTCTTTAATTTTTTTTATACTCTTGCCATTTTTACTTACTTCCCTACCATGTTTTCTTACCTCCTTTTTTCCCTTGTCCCACTTAACTGGTTTCTCAATGAAAGTGCTAAAAAATAAACAAATAAACTCATATAGGTAACACAATTTTATAACTGCCATCTCAGTTACAAGATGTTACTTCTCTTAATAAACATTCTTTCTCCTAAAATCTTCTGGAATTGTGCAAAAATAGAAAACGTAATACACTGGACACATATTTCTAGACGGTAGGCACGGTGCTATAATAGGAAAGAGAACAATGGTTCATTTTGTGTGAGGTGTGTCTCAGGTAATTTTGATTCATAAGAAAAGTGACTTCTGAACTATTTTCCTTTATATATCTCCAGATAGCAAGTGTTTGTAATCATCACACTATGTGATAGAGATGAATTAATTTTTATTTAATGCTTCTTAACTATTTGCATTTTGGGAGTGGCCAAGTATTCTTTGAAAAGCCCCATGAAGAAGTAGGTATCACATAATTTTATAGTTGAAGAAACTGATATATAAATGTAGGATTGCCTAATTGTAAATGATAGAACTGATTGTGGAAATCAAGACTTACAATTGCTATTCACGGTTTATCCTTTTCCTCTTTACTTCATTGTTCTGAAATATGAAAGTATCTAAAACATATCTAAAACATAAAAATTAAATTAGTTATAATAAAAGCAGGATTTAATATAGTAAACTTCATCTGTGAATATGTAAATTGTTATGAGTTTTCATTTAACAAACATTACATGTCTATGAACTATTTACTCTATAAATATTAGTGAATTATAAGTATATAGATATATTACATATAAATACTCTCTTTTGATGGAATCACTACTATTGATCCAGTTTTGCAAATGAGGAGACTGGGGGTTAAAAATTAATAATTTTCCAAGGTCACATAGCTTTCAATGTAAGTTCTATGAAGGCAGGGACTAAGTCTCTTTTGCTTGCCGCTACATTCCCTGAGCCAGAATAGAACTTTCATCATCAATATTTGTAGAACGAACATTGACCTTTTTATTGGATAAGTAAGATGGGAGGGTCAAGAATAAAATCCTAACTAAAATACTTTTAAGTATACTTTTTATATCATTAAATATTTTCTGTGAGGAAATATTCAAATAAGTCAAAACATTTAGGCTCCCAACCCAGTTCAGTGGCTGAGACTATAATACAAAATTAATGATAAAAAGTTAATTCAAGATTCATTTTGTACCTTGATTGATCTGTATATTTTCATCTGAAATGTATAAAGTGTAGTGCCCAGATGATATCCCAACTCTTTTTCTCACCATAACAAATGACCTTTCCTTACTATGAATTGTGGAAATTATTATGATTCCTTTATCATTTACTATCTTGAGCTATCTCATATGTTTTGTCTCATAATATTATTAATATTACCAAGTTATCTTTTATGCCTTTCCACTAGGTCATCCCACAATTCTCTGGATTCCTTGAGTATGGTTTAAAGATATTGCAGTTGCACACCATTTCTTAAGGAGTAAACAGATAAGAGCAAGTTACTACAGTAGTACAAGACATTCTTTGAGGGAGTCAGGAATTGATACTAAACTGACTCATTCGAATCCTATCCCTAGAAGCAGGCTAAAAGCTAGGCCATCCATAGCTATCTAGATAACATGACCTGCAACATCAGAATAGGGGTTATCCTGATAACAGTCTGGAATGGAAGAGAGTAGATACTCAAACTAAGGAAAAAGATCACTTAAAAGAACTTTACAATAGATAGGTGCTATAAAAGCAGAACTGACTTGTTGCTGATCTGTCTAATCTTGTTTTGAAACTGCTTCATTATCTCTTCCTGAAGATGAGATTTGGCTGTGGGCTAAGGTGATGAGAAATATGGAAGTGGGATTAGAGTCTAGCACATTAAAATAAATATATATGTGTGTATATATATGTATATATATATATATTACTAGGGGTGATGGTGGAAAAGTAGTTACATAGCCACATAAGTTAAAACCCAAATGTGGAGGAGACTTTTACAGAACAGGAAACTTGGCAGAGCCTGGCATTACACATTGAAGTTACTCAAATATTTATGGGTTGATTGCTTGTTGACATCCATCAAAAATCTTACTCCTTTAAATGCAAGATATTTGGTGTCTCGTTTCCTGACTAATTTTTTTCATCATTCATGTGAATTTTTGCAATTGAAACAGCCAACTTTGATAAGCTGAAGCTTTCTTTTAAAAATATGTTTTTAATGTTCTGACTTGAATTATGTCCACAGTATTAGTAAAGGCTGTGTTCTCTGCTAATGCCACTGGAATTACTTCTACCTGGTGTTCTAGCAACCAAGTTCAATTTATTTATAGTACAATCAATGATTTTTTTAATTTCTGGAACAATTTTATTTTCTAGTCTATTCAAGTATTTGACTTTTCTTTTTGGCATCTAGAAAAATAGCCAAAAATCTCTTTTCAGACATTTGCATATCTCTGATGTACACCGGAAGAGACATAGTAGGAGTCTAAAACTTAAAAGCTAACAAAGTATAATTTTTTGGTACTAAACAAGTATAAATAGACATGACTGATATTGGATTATATAGCACATTTCTGATAGATGAAGAGCAGTTTGAGAGATCAAAGTAGTTACTGTTTCATGTGGCAACTTTCCTTAACTATGAAATAATGTACTTTCTGGCATATATTACGGCTTATTAAGGGGATTGATTTGGTCTAGGCAATAAACATCATGTCAGACATGCCTGGCAGGAAAGCCTGCTTAATATGTTTTGTAATAAGATGGAATTTTTTGTTCTTGAAAACATCTGCCAACTAAATTCAAGAGTGAAGACAGAAAATGTCATCAATTTACTGGTAATCCTATAAATTTAGTTTCTTCTTGAGCAACACATATCAAGACACACAAAATTCCCAGTGTTAATCACCACTGGTTATAGTACTTTGTAAAACGATGAAACAAAAACATTTTATTTTTATATAATGTGTTAATTAATTCATAATGAATTTTAATATTTCAACTGATAAAATTTTAACAAGCATCTTGCCAACAGATCATTTTTTAAAGCATCTGTTTTTTAATGTGTTGGGTTGAGAACTGAGTCAAATGGCTAAATATGTACATATATTCTTTTTAAAAACATATTTCTACCCCATAATTGTAGATACACTATTTTTTTTCCTTAGACCACCAGGGGTTGCTGCTGTTCATACTGGATCTTGCTTCCCTCAG